AAGGCCCTGGATGATCTGACTTTCCATCTCCCTCTTGCTTACTGCAGGCACACCGATTTTCTTTTTTTTTTTTTAACATGAGATTAGCCTTTTTTTTTTTTTGGCCATGCTGTGCAGCATGTGGGATCCTATTTCCCTGACCAGGGATCGAACCCACACCCCCTGCATTGGAAGCATGGAGCCTTAACCACTGCACCGCCCGGGAAGCCCCTGATCTTCTTTTGTGTTTTTAAGGACACTGAGCTCTTTCCTGGCCTTTGTAGCAGCTGCTCCCTCTGGCTGAAACTTCTTCCTGGTCCACACATGATTGGATTCTTCTTGTCATTAGGTCTTAGCTTAATAAAAGTCATTTCCTCAGAGACGCCTTGCCTGTCTACACAAATTAAAGGAGTGCCCAAGTCAGTTCCTATCCTATTACCTTGTTATGTGTTCATCATAGCAGTGATCGTTGCCTGTTATTTGTTCATCATAGCAGTGATCATTGCCTGTTTTTTTTTTTAGCTCACTTACCTGATAATTTGCCTGTTAGCAGTCTCCCTCGTTGCAAATGCCATAAGAGTAAGATACTTGACTTTCTCTCTATCCCCAGCACCTAGAATGTGCTGGGCCTAGAGTAAGTACTCAATAACTCAGTGAATGAATGAACAGCTTTACAAGTGCTGGCTTAAACAAGGTCCAGTAGAATTCTTTACAGCAAGGCTTTCAGAGCCTTTAATATGCTAATATGAATTGTGAATCTGTGTGAGTATCATGTATTCATGTTCCTAGGAACACTTTGGGGGGCATATTGATGTTGGAACATAGCATTTCTAAGGAATCAGATTTGTTTTCATGTATAACTAATATTTTAAAGGGAAACAAATCTGGGACTTCCCTGGTGGCGCAGTGGTTAAGAATCCGCCTGCCGACGCAGGGGATGCGGGTTCGAGCCCTGGTCTGGGAAGGTCCCACATGCTGCGGAGCAGCTAAGCCCGTGTGCCACAACTACTGAGCCCGTGTGCCACAACTACTGAAACCCACGTGCCTAGAGCCCGTGCTCCGCAACAAGAGAAGCCACTGCAATGAGAAGCCTGCGCACCACACCAAAGAGTAGCCCCCGCTCGCCGCAACTAGAGAAAGCCCGTGCGCAGCAGTGAAGACCCAGTGCAGCCAAAAATAAATAAATAAAATAAATAAATTTATAAAAATAAATTAATTAAATAAAAGAGAAGGAAATCTAACACATGGCACATATTCTTTAAAATTCCTCTTTCTCTTTCCTGCTCCATCCTTTAGGACTCTGCTCTCTGCAGCTAAATCTGATCAATTGATTTGTACGTAGGTATGCATGTGTAGTACTGCCTTAGGGCCTTTGATCCACTCTGTTATTTATTTATCATATTAAAACCTCATTGTTACTGGTAGCAAGATACAAAAATAATGATAGGGATAGGCTGGTGAAAAATGATTTCCGGAATGGAAGCTTTAGATATCCCTCGAATTTATCTCCACAGTGCCCATTGATACCCTGTAGACAAAAGTTTTGACTGTTGACCTGATTCTACTTGACAGAATCAGTTATTGATAGACCTTTTTATATAGGTATATTTCTTTGGTAACAATATTTTTGAAGCAGTTTTTACAAATTCTTTGTGTCAGCTGGATGCATTTGTGCTATAGAAAATCATGTTATTTCTATATGAAACTTTAGAATTGATGAAGATTGCATGTTTCTGTTCAGAGACTAAAGATCCTGGTTTGTTTCTTTCCAGAGAAATGAGGTCCAGAGTTGTTGACTGCTACTGATAACTGGTTAGGACATGTATTTATTCCAAAGCCTTCTTTCTACTCCACCCTCCTTCAGCTGGGGGAGATTAGGTGCCAGACATTCTGGATAAAAAGTAATTAGAAAGGCTCTGGATGGTATCTTCTCCTGTCAACGTTTAGGTTAGGCTTTGTTAGAGATAGTCTGTTTGAGTTTTGTGCTCATGCGTAGGGCACGGCCGCTTCTGGCCTCTCTACCTTGGTGGAGTTTGAACTCCAACTTTTGACTCCCCAGTGGATATGGGGTTCCACTCACATAGTAAATTGGCCCTATATCACTCTCTATGCTGACTCTTCTTTGAGTAGAGTACATAATTACTCGCATTTGGGAGGCTGTGAATTCCCTTTGAACCTATATTCCCGGGCTCCTGCCTATGGAAACGTGACATTCTAATTAGAAGTTCAAAGCATTCTATACTATAGACCACTATGCAGAGAAGCCAGTCTTGAAAACAAGGCTTGGTGCTTCCGCTCCTGGTCAGCCAGTGTCCATATGTCACAGTGTCCAAATGGCCAGTTCTGTCCATTGAGTTTACTGCCACTAGTTGGCCACCTCCTGAGTATACTGGTTAATTCTTGAATAAGTTTTAAGTCAACCATGAAAATAACTGTTAGTCATATAAGTTACTACCACAGGATCTATTTACAGCCCAGATTTTACAGACGGATGGCTTGACAAATGTGTTTTTATTTGCTGTGAATAATTTCTGCATAGCGATATTGAAAAAAATGTAATTCACATTTTCCATTAAGAAGAAGGCAGCAGTGGTGTGCAGAGAACTGTCAGTTATCTGTGACTCCCGTCATCATTATTCTGGGATTGATTTGGGAGGAATTCAGCTATTCTTGCAGAAAAACTACTGGTTAAACATGAACAGTTAGAAAACCTCTTTCTGTAACCTGAGACACAAAAATGAGAGGTAAGATTGAAACCAGAGCCCAGTTCTCCAGCCAAGACTCTCTCTGTTGAAATCCATAGGCAAAGGGAAGAGCTGATGATGGGTTTCCTCAGGGGAAGGCTTAGCTGCCAGGACTGCCCCGAAAGCCTGTTAATCAGCCTCTCGAGGGGGCTGCAGGCGCACAGCGTTCTCGGGCAAAGGTCCACATGGCTTCCCTCAGCCTTTCTTTGCCAGGTGTGTACAAAGGTCTGGAGGCACGGAGGGAACGTCAGACGAAGTGGCGACACAGTCGCTGCTCTCAAGTTAATGGTGGGAACGAGGGCTGAGATCAAGGCAGAGCTGGGCTCACAAGCGTTTGCCTCCAGAGGACTCATAGGAGATGGTGAATGGCCGCCACCCCTGCGCTCTCAGCTGCCAGGGCCCTGCTCTGCCTGGGAGGCCTCTTCTGCTCGAGGCTTTCCCGTCACTAACATTCTGTTTTCTGGAGTCTGTTGTTGTCAGATTGCCCCCAGTAAACCCAGCTTCAACCGCACATCAAAGCTACCGGGACATGCTCTTTTGAAAGCTACCCAAGTTCCCAGCTCGCAGAGGCATCCTCAGGCCAGCCACCTGCCTCAGGCTTCCCGAGGCTCATCACCCTAGAGCTAACCGTTCAAAGCTTAGAGGAACTTGAAGGTCAGACTTCCTATTAATACTCTTCCAACCTATTCTGGATTCAGTAGGCTTTGGGGAGTGGCTGAGAAACCCACTGAGAAATTTCTGAAGGAAGCTTCTATGATCACCAAAGTGCTGTTTTTAAATGTTGCCTTGTTTCAAAACACTAAGTAGCAGCAAACTGGAAACATAACTCATCTACCTGACTCTAAACGTAGAAATAAATAAATAGCTCATGCTTACAAGCATATATGCATGTAAAACCAGAGACTTTAAAACAGGAGATGAAGAGAGACACGTGGTGAACAAAGTGACTTAAACCAGATGGGACTGACGTGTACACACTGCTATATTTAAAATGGATAACCAACAGAGACCTACTGTATAGCACGGGCAACTCGGTTCAACATTCTGCAATAATCTACATGGGAAAAGAATTTGAAAAGATACATATGTACATATCACTGAATCACCTTGCTGTACACCTGAAACGAACACAACAACGTTGTTAATCAACTCTACTCCAATATATATTTAAAAAAAAAAATTAGATGGGCTTAGTTGGGCGGTGTTTAGAGGGGGAGGGGCCAGAGGGAGCAGGACCCCAACTTCCCAGCGTAGAGTAGACTGGCCTGCAGGGTAAACTGGAGGTAGCTAGAGTTAGAAGCGGATAGTTACGATTGATTAGGTTTTTTTGCTTTTTTGTTTTTTGTTTTTTTGCGGTACGCGGGCCTCTCACTGTTGTGGCCTCTCCCGTTGCGGAGCACAGGCTCCGGACTCGCAGGCTCAGCGGCCATGGCTCACGGGCCCAGCTGCTCCGCGGCATGTGGGATCTTCGCGGACTGGGGCACGAACCCGTGTCCCCTGCATCGGCAGGCGGACTCTCAACCACTGCGCCACCAGGGAAGCCCCACAATTGATTAGTTTTATTTTCTCTTTTAATCATTGTGTTGCATGATTGTCCCCCGCAACACCCTTCTCCTGACCCCGTGGCCTCTTCCCCTCCCAGCCACCTGCATTCTGCTCTGACTTCATTTTTCAAAGGCAACAGTTGCTTTCTCTGAGTCTTTTGTGATATTGGCGGTAGTATGTGCTGCTCTATTTATTATCTTTTTAAAAACAGATAAGGTGGATGGGAAATGCTAATAGCAAATGCAGCCCCAGCTCGGCCCCCTGCTCTTCTGCAAAGCACATTTTCTTCTCAGGCCCAGGCCCTCGCACCACAGGCAGAGGCGGGAGGACCAGGCGAGAGCAGCCAGCCAGGCTGTTTGGTGCAGTGCATGGTCCACAAACAGCCAAGTGGGCAATCAGCTAGATAGTTCAGGTGAATCCCCAGCTTTTGTCTTTCTTCACTCGTTTCCAAAATTGCTTGTAAGCTCAACTGTAAAGTGTAAAGTGTCGCGGGCGGAAAACAAGGTTCCTTTTGGACATGGACCTCGACCCCCTTCCTATTTCTCTGTGAAGCAGGTTCTGCAGCTTCTGCTGCTTGCCCTTGGGACCTGAGTCTAGTGACAAATAAGGAACCATTTATCAGATCGCCGTGTAGGTTGAGACCAGGTGTGAAACTAAGAGCTTTCTTGTGAAGCTGTGAACCACAACTGTTTGAATTCCAAAAATAATGTGTCCTTTTTTATGCAATTGCAGATTGCCGCATTCCGCAAATTGAAGATGCTGAGATTCATAACAAGACATACAGACATGGAGATAAATTAATCATCACTTGTCATGAAGGATTCAAGATCCGGTACCCTGACCTGTACAACATGGCTTCATTATGTCGCGATGACGGAACGTGGGACCGTCTGCCCATTTGTCAAGGTACGGGGCTGAGGCTGTGGTTCTCAGCTGTTCTTTCAGACTCGATTGTGGAGCATGTACACGTTTCTCTAATAGGATGACAGGGGGAAACACAAAGCCACGCACACCCCATGGTTCAGCTGTACTGCACTCTGATCACCGCAGCTCTGTGTTTGGAATCTTCCCACAATTCCCTGTGCTTCTCTCCAGCTCTATACACCCAACTTTAAAGTTTAAATGGGAGATACCTTATTCTTCAGTGTGTTGGATGTCTCCTTTATTCTAAGAAACCAAAAGTCGTTGCAGAATTAGGAGCCTTGTAACTGGGCTGTGAACACAATGATGAACTATTGTATATTTAATGGAAATAACAGCATTTATACTGATTTCGGTTGTGGTGTGAATATATTTAAAGCCAATCTTACAGAGGCTATTTTCTCTTAATAATGTTATCCTTTTTTATAATGCATGAGGAGCAGAAAAATAATCAAATTCAAATTTCATCCAAACCATACGATGAATATTTATCCTCCTGCGTTTTTTAAATTTGCTTGGGCCGACACAGAGGGCCCCCTGTTTGTGAAAATAAGCCCTCGACTTCCCATTAATTCTGATTTTATTTTTAGACATGTGACTTGGACCAAAGGACTAAGAAACCCATGCATAATTCATAATCCAAGGGAGAAGGCTAGCAATCTTATTTACACCAAAAGCACTGGCATGTTAAAGTTGAGACGGATGTCAACTTTCTGCTTGGAAACCGTGACGGGCAGACTCTGATATTGCTCTGTGCACCCCATAGTTGGAAATAAATCATTTCCTTATGTGAGAGTTTAAGAGTCACGGCCCCTTGAAGAAACAAAGGCTTCAGGATTAGGAAGACAGAGGCAGCCCAGGTCCTCACCCTCCTGCATTTCTCCCCAGAAGCTTCTGTGTTGTTTAGCGTGTTATGTGTTACATTCTTAAAGGAGACACGTGATTTATTTATACTCTCTTAGAGACTCTCCACAGAATCAGCAGCCGGCTTTTAGGTGGGGCTGTTTATCCAAATGAACTTTATTAACCATGGATTCGTTCCAGTCCTGCAGCGCTATCCGAGTAACGGCCAAGAAAATTATTTCAGACTCCAACCCCTTCTCGCTTTCATATTTTCCACTTGTCTTTCGGTTCTCCCACCCTTTCAATTTCCTTTTACATCCCTTAAATACAGTACGCTTCTTTAGGAGTTCTTGTTACCCCAATGATTTTTTTTAAATGCCCTATGGGGATAGACATCTTGGGGTGTCATTGTCACGAGTTCAGGTGCAGGCTTGCCTCTTGCTCTGTCTGTGCCCTTTTGCCCCTCCCCTCTAGCACCCCTTACTAAATCTCAGTCATAACACAGCTTCGATGTTTTTTGCAGCAACAAAAGGGTTGGCCGGCTGCTCTTGAAAGGTGTGCTTTTTCAAACAGCAATACGACCCACAGCCCACCTTCAGCCCTCCTCAGAGCCCTCGGTCCCCACAGAGGAGATGCCCCCTGGGCCCTGATAACCCCCTCCAGCCCCTGCACCGTGCAGTCCACCCGCGTGGGCACAGCACGGTTGCTTTAGACAGCCTGACACCTCTCGAGCCCCCAGGGGGTATATAATTGGCCCTTCGAATGACATTTCATCCTGTAATTTTTATTTGCACCTATAGATCCAGGGGCTACAGCCTGAGGAACCGTCTCTCTATTATCTCGAAGTGCAAATAGAAATCACATTCAACTATTGAGTCGAAGTCAGTTTTCTACTGTATTTTTACGACAGGCTGTCCTCCAACCAAGAGTGAGCATAGCTTTCCTTCTCTGATTGGCTGCACGTGTTCCAACCCCTTTCATCTCCTTCTGGGGTCGGAGGTGGGAACCGTTCCAAGGGCATTTTTTTCCCCGGAACTTTGTGTTTTAGAGATCCATGTGCCGATGCTTCCTGCTCCCTGTGGGTCAGAGTTAGTTTTTTACTTAGGGGATGCAGTCTATCCACATGGGTAGCTTAGAACCACACTCCTTCTCAGAAGGAGGCAGGGGCACTGTCACGTGTACCCACACATTGGAACCCTGCTCAAGGTTCTAACACATTCCCTTGTTGGTGTTGATTTGCTTATCTTTTTTTTTTTTTCCTCTCAATTATTGATCCTGTTTATGCCTGATTGCCAAACTCCCTTCACACATTTCACTTTTGCCATGGACAGTGTCAATTTTCAGCTCCGAAAAAAAAATCCTTTAAGACCATTGGGACTGCCCAAAAGGATAGCTGGGCACCATGCGTTTCTGATCTGGTCCATCCTGAGTGTGGCTTGTTCTGGGCAGGGATCTTTGGGGTCTGTGGGGTCTGCGGGGCTCCAGGACACCAGGATGCAGCAGTGCAGGTTGACCCTTGACGACCCCAGAGTGAATGCCTCCTACATTCTGCACCCCTCACTGTGGTGTCTGTGTCTGCTCTGATACAGACACAGACACCACAGTCTAAGGCGCCGACCCGAGCAGTTTGCTGAATATGCAGCTCTTCGACGCTTGTATTGTAATGTGTCAGAGAGTCATCTTAAGAGAGGAGTTCCGTCATCTGCTGCAGTGCCTGCGTGATATAGTTTGTGCTTGGTGATTGGAAGGGAAAGTAGGTTTTTCCATTATCTGTTATTTACTTCACACACAATTAGTTCTCCCCGGGAAGAGCACAGCTCTGCAGGGTCATTATTCCCTCCAGTGAAGCTGCTGAAGCCAATAAGAAATACACTAATCACAGCAGATGCCACACCAAGTGGGCTGCTGTGCCACTGGGAATGTTCCACTGGGCTGCACAGGCTTCAGGACAAAAGGCAGCTACTGTTTTACAGAAGTAGGGATTGAGCCCTCATGCTCACTCAGATGGCACACAGTATTCTGTGCATGGTGCACAAACTCGCTACAGCACATCTGCTCAAAGCCTGGTGCCACGGCAACAGCACCCGGAAACCTGTAGCAGTGCAAATCCTTGAGCTCCACACGGACCCACTGAACCAGAAGCTCTGGGTGTGTGGGCCAGCAGTCTGTCCTACAAGCCCTCTCTGTGTTATTCTCAAGTTTGAGAACCACTGTGTTACGTGTTACTTTCCTATTTCACCTAAAACACAATGGGATTTTCAAAACTTTCGTTGCACTACGTCAGACAGGTGTCTGTTCCATTATCTGCTGCCATGGAACCCAGTTTGCATCCTAACCTTCTCAAGCTGCCCACCACCACTGCTGAAACAGGAAATAGTCTCTCTTCCCTCTGTGGCACCTCAGTGGTTCTCAGCCTTGATGGCATTTTAAGATTATGTGGGGAGCTTTAAAAAAGATAGGGGTGTCCAGGCTGGATACCTACCCAGGCACAGGTCTGGGCATTAGTGTTTTTAAAAATTTCCTCAGGTGAAAAGGGAACCCTCCTACACTGTTGGTGGGAAGGCAAGTAGGTGGGGCCATTGTGGAAAACAGTATGGAGGTTCCCCAAAAAACTAAAAATAAAATTAACATATGACCTAGCAATCCCCCCCCCATGCATCTATCTGGACAAAACTTTAATTCAGAAAGATCCATGCACCCCAATGTTCATAGAAGCACTGTTTACAATAGCCAAGACATAGAAACAACCTAAATGTCCATCAACAGATGAATGGATAAAGAAGATGTGGTACATATATACAATGGAATATTACTCAGCCATAAAAAAGAATGAAATAATGCCATTTGCAGCAACATGGATGCAACTAGAGATTATCATACTAAATGAAGTAAGTCAGACAGAGAAAGACAAATACCATGTTATATCACTTATATGTGAAATCTCAAATATGACACAAATGAACCTATCTATGAAACAGAAACGGACATAGAGAACAGACTTGTGGTTGCCAAGGGGGAGGGGGTTGGGGGGAGGGACGGAGTGGGAGGTTGGGATTAGCAGATGTAAGCGATTATATACAGAATGGATAAACAGCAAGGTCCTACTGTATCACACTGGGAACTATATTCAGTATCCTGTGATAAACCATAATGGAAAAGAATATAAAAAAGAATGCATGGATATATATGTCTAACTGAATCACTTTGCTGTACAGCAGAAATTAGCACAACATTGTAAATCCATTATACTTCAGTGAAAAATAAATTAATTAAAAACTTTCCTCAGGTGATTCTAACATGCAGTCAGGGCTGGAACCACTGGCTAGGGGTGTCCCGATCCACAGCTCCACCTCTCGTTACCACTTCCCTACTCGTCTGACCCTCTCCATGCCGCTTGCAACTATATAAGCAGATGCCTGCTTTAGAAATAGAATAGGTACACAGATAAGGAGGTCTGAGCATTTAAGACCAAGGTGCGCGGTCCTCGGAGGCCATGCCACGTTTTCAGCAGGGGAAACCGAAAGACGTATAGCGCTTTGTCTTTCAGGTGTACAAAGATGACCACGTGAGACACTTCCCTTTTTCTTTCCCACATCGCAGGCTGCCTGAGACCGCTCACCTCTTCTAATGGCTATGTGAACATCTCCGAGTTCCAGACCTCCTTCCCAGTGGGAACTGTGATCTCCTACCACTGCTTTCCTGGATTCAAACTCGAGGGGTCGGAGTATCTTGAGTGCTTACACAACCTCATCTGGTCGTCCAGCCCACCCCGGTGCCTTGCTCTGGAAGGTATCACATCTTATTCTTTTGGAAGTTGAATTTTGGCTTATTAAAGTGGATGTTTCACTAGGAGGTAAAGAGCTGAGAATTAAGGTCAGCAATAACTTCTGTTCCCTGAGTACACATTGCTTGCAGAGGCAGCAAGCCTGATCATCTGCCATGAAGCAATACTTACAACCAGACATAAAACTGGCTTCCCCCATTCTCAGGCTTAAAGGGGATGAAAGAGAAAAGTTTCAAGCGTCAAAGGTTACACTGCAAAATATTGCAAAGTTAAATGAAATGTCTTCAAAAATTAATTTTCTCTGTACCAAATGAAAACAGATTGTATTATGGCATCATTAATCTCACCCCTCATTTTATTGTTGTGTCAGTGTTTCCTCCTATTTCCATTCATTTTATGGCTTGGCTCTAAATGTTTTGCTGCAAGCACACACTTGGAAGCCTGAAACCAAGAGATCTTTCCTCCTTGTTTTTGTTAAATATATGTGATTATTTTTGAGTGTGGTTCACTAAAGACCACTAATCAGTAGTATGAAATGGTCGGGGTGGGAGGTGGTCAGAGCATCCACTGCTGGAATCAGGCCAGTGTCTACAGAGTCTATAGAAACTTCTCCTAGGCAAGCTGGGCATGCTGGCTCAACCCTCACTTTAATTCAGGTCTTGAAATTATGATCGTAGGGAACAAACACCGACTTACTTCCTGTCATCTGAATACGGTGGGTGGGAGGGGTGTCTATACGGGGAAAGAAAAAAATGAAAGGAAATCTCCAATCAAGAGCCCCTCCAAAGCCCATCTGCAGCTTTTCTTGGGAAACAAATCAAGACACAGTAGAACGTAGAAACAAACAAGTTCTCACAAGCACCGTCTGCCTCCACGCGTGCACCTCAGTGTGGGACGAGGTCAGATTAGGAGGTGTGTTATGGGGGGTGACAGCCAGAGAGATCAGAGGTGTCTCCTAAGGAAGACCATGGACTGGCTGGAGCCATGGAGCCTCCTTAGAGAGAAAGGAGGAAGGGGTGCAAGGGAGGGGAGCCTGGTGCTTGAAGGAGAGAGAATGGCAGCCGGGGCCGTCAGTGGTGCTCATCTCCTAGGCTGGTGAGCGGAACCCCCGCTCGCCCCTACTTCCCACCCATCCTAAATCTCCTAGGGGGTCAGAGCCCACAGTAGAGAGAGATAAAATACAGGACACCCAGTTAAATCTGAATCTCAGATAAATAGCAAATAATTTTTTAATGTGAACATGTCCTAAATATTGGATGGGACTTACTCATGGTCAACAAGTGTTCTTTGCTTATCCGACCTTCACCTATAACTCAGTGTCCTGTATTTTCATTTGCCACATCTGGCAACCCTAGCCCTAGAGGGATAAGGGTATCTCCTGTTGCCACTGGGAACAGCTTTTCTGCCGTCTGGACACCTCTGGCCAGCGTGGTGAGTGTGGGCTGCTGGTGAATGGGGGCTTTTCTTGTTCCTGGAGGTTTCTCCCTGCTCAGATAAGCAGAACTAGAGGACCTGTTAGAGGTATCATGTTACAATTATATCAGTTTTAAATGCTATTTGCAAATCTTTTCAAATTCAGTTCAAACACCTTTCAAGCCATCATATTCTAAGCTTCATTTTGAGACTTTGAAAGCAGTTTTTCTGGAGCTTAGGGAATATAATGTGAATAGGCATAAAACAGAATCTCACTTTAAGGGGCAGTGAGCTAAGGTTATGTACGGGAAGCCACGACTGGCTTCTGATTGGAAATGAGTCTCGTGATTTAGCACAAGTCCCTTTTTCTCTGCCAGCCTGGCCTGTGCCCGAAGGGGACGCTAAAAGTCCAGGTGACAGCTGCCTGCGACAAGAAGGCCACCTAATACCTTTTTGTCCTCCATTTTTTAAAAAATAATATTTACATCCTTATTTTCAATACATGTTCCTTTCAATTACCTGATGCAATTAGTTTGTGAGACCCTTAAATGCTACCCTGGCTAAAGGCACCGAAGACATGATTCTAAACTGAGAGGGGCAGAGAGGACTAAAGGGTTTTTTGTCTCAAGACTTCATAGAAGCTGGGTTAAAATAGAAGGTAAGGATCCACGAACAAAAAGTATCCAGATGCACCTGAGTGTTGGTATTTCCTTAGCTCTTACTTGAATAGTGTATCATCTTTTTCAAAGGCGGTGCCTTATTTATGCAAATTGTCAAATGGTATTCAACGTACATGCACTGTCCCGAGGGAATCTACCCACCCCTTTAATATATCACCCATGGTCCCCCATCCCCTCATTTTTTTTTCTGTCTTCCTGAGCACACAATTTGATTTTTCTTGATGGCAGAGTGAAAATTATTGCACTGTGCTGTGGAATCATGACACTCTTCGGGGGCTTTGAATAATATATTAGGGCGTTCTGACCCCTGATATGACTGGGTCTGGACAGCTGTGCCATGGAAGCCTTTCTCTGTGAGCTTTTTATCCCTTTCCTGTCTCCCTGTTAATCCGTCAATCCATCATGTGTCACTGTACCTGTCACTTCAGTTCCCGCCACCCCTCGAGCTCTTTTTTCTAACCTGCCACAAGCCTGGAGACGGAATCACCAGGATGGTCATGGAGGCGCTGTAGCGTATTGATTAGAGTGTGGGTTGGCATCAGACTGGCTGAGTTCACATCCTGAGTTTCCTACTTAATCAGTTTGACCTGGGGCAAGTCGCTTAGCTTCTGTCAGCCTCTACTTCCTCATCTGCAGAATGCGGGAGATGATTGTACCTGTGGGACTGTGAGGGTCCAGTGTGATAACAAATGTAACACATTTAGTGAAGTGCCGGGTGCACGGTAGGTGGTCGATCAAGTGTCCATCGTTATTAGTGCTATTAGACTTGTGTACAGAGTCACACTAAATGAGAATCTGGGCATGGCTGTGTGAACAAAATACCCAGGCTTTTATGCATTTACACTGCAACATCGTGTTGGTTGTTCAGAGGAGATTTTGGTTACTTGCATACTTTTTTTTTTTTTTTGCGGTACGCGGGCCTCTCACTGTTGTGGCCTCTCCCGTTGCGGAGCACAGGCTCTGGACGCGCAGGCTCAGCGGCCATGGCTCACGGGCCCAGCCGCTCCATGGCATGTGGGATCTTCCCGGACCGGGGCACGAACCCGTGTCCCCTGCATCAGCAGGCAGACCCTCAACCACTGCGCCACCAGGGAAGCCCCGGTTACTTGCATACTTTTAACTGTGTTTGTATAAGATGAATCGCAGATAATGGGAGGAAGTACTGAACAATAATAATGATTGCCAGTAATCTTGAGAGCTTACTATGTATCGGAATGTTTGACAAAGTATCTCATTTAGTCCTCCTATTGCCTTTGTGAGACAAGTACTATTTTTTGTTTTTTATATTTATTTGGCTGCTCCGGGTCTTAGTTGCGGCACACGGGATCTTTTTTGTTTGGTTGTAGCATGCGAACTCTTAGTTGCGGCATGTGGGATCTAGTTCCCTGACCAGGGATCAAACCCGGGCTCCCTGCATTGGGAGTGCGGAGTCTCAGCCACTGGACCACCAGGGAAGTCCCAGACAAGTACTATTTTTAATCCCATGTTACTGCTGAGCAAGCCCAGGTTTCTAGAGATTCAGTAACTCAGCCAAGGTCACACAGTTAGTAAGTGGGGGGTGGGGACTCGAACAAGGGTCTTTGCCACTTGAAAGCTCATGCTCTTCATCACTAAGGTGCATTATGTAATTATGCGTGATCTGATTGGTTCTGATTTCTTTACAATTTGATGTTTTTATAGCCATTTTTTTAAAGCATCAAAAAACTTAAAACAGTTATCACACAGGAAGGGATTTGTTCTTCTAGTCCAATCCTCCTCCCTGTAGAAATCCCAGCTGCAGGGGGCCGTGAGCCGGGTGGCAAAGGGCACTCCCCGCTGCCCCGCACGTGCCCATGAGTCACCCCGTTACAGCAGAGCCTCACTTCAGCCACTGGGCTGCGCAGGGATTGTGTCTCCTCTCGCAGACCGGGTGACTGACACCTTGAAGGGTGGCGTGACTTGTCCACGCTGCCAACCCTTGGCCGTGGCTTCCTCCACTGCATGGCGTCTCCTCTCCCTAGCGGCATGGAGCAGGCTTTGCTGGCGCCACTGTTGAGCGGCAGCTGTCACACTCAGTGTCAACCATCCCGTAACTGAGGCCTGGCTTCATGAAGGACTTTATAATTTGGAAGGAAAAACTCTGGCAGCCTCACCAAAGGTGAGAATTCCCAGGCCCAGTAGAAAGGTGTGGGTGACGTGTTTCAAAGGCCTGGGGCCGTGGCACCTGGCTTATTGAGTGGTATGACACCCGTCTTCTGTCTGTTTTCCCACAGCCGGGTTGTGTGGGGTAAAACACCTGAAATCACAAAATCTTGGACCCCAGTGTTGGCTACGTCATTTTAAAATGCATGAATATATAAATTTGAGCCTGGAAGGAGCCCCACGGTTTTCTATGTGCTGGTCTTTCGCGCTGTGTGTCTGCGCGCTTTTCTTTATCTCTGTGTGTCTTCATGCTTTCCATTCTCAGGTCGTCTTCATCTCTGAGGCTTTCATTGCTCTCTCCTTCATACACACACACACACACACACACACACACACACACACACACACATACATGCACTGAATCCAAGAAATCTTTAAAAAAAAAAAAAAACAACCTTTGACAGTGAATGTGGGCATTTTCTCATTTATAAGTGCTAAGAACTCTGTTTACACTGTCAGCAGTGTTTATTGGACACTTGGTAGGCACAGAGCGACACCGAATTGGGCTCTGGGGAATTACAGAGAAAGAAAAGGACATCACTCTTTACTTCGAAGACCTTACAGTCTAATGGGGAGAACGAGATGACAAATCCCATTACCTAGAGACTAGCGTCATCACAGACCGCACCGCGTATGCCCACAGCTACCTTAACCAAAGGGCACGTGCGTGCTTCTGCATTTGGAAGGAGGGAAAGGAAAGTTCTGGTAGGTGGTATCGCAATTGTAAAATG